GGCCACACACACACACATAGTGTCCTTACCACCCCTGGACTGCATCTGCGCAGTTTCGTACCGCTGCGGCGCGTTTTGCAAAAACCGTTCTGCAGCGGCGCGGTTTTGCCCTTCACCCGCAGCCTGGATTGATAGTCATTGTGGGTGTGGGGGCCGCGGGCCAGGACTTTTGTTTGAACAAAGTTTTGACAGTACATTTCTGTCGGGCCTTGGAACAGCTTGTGAGTGGTCACTGAAGACCTTCACAGTTGGTGGCGGCGGGGCAACGATCCCCGGGACATTACGACAACATGTCGTCGACGGACAAGCTGGTGATTCCGGCCTACAAACAGAGCTCCGAGCGGGAGTTCAACGAGTGGTTCCGCAACCTGCGGACCGCGGCGAAGCAACACAAGTACCTCCTCGACATCATCGAGGTGGGCACCATCCGGCCGGGCGCGGAGCGCGAGGCCGAGGCGGTCGCGCTGCACGTGCGCTACAAGAACATCGGCACTGCGGACGGCCTCATCCCGGCCATGATCGACAAGTTCTTCAAGGACCTGTCGGTGACTCTGTCGCGCCAACTCTACGGTGCGCTGCAGAACGCCGTCAAGGACGACGACACGCTCGCCGAGATGTTGGCGGACGAGGACGCCGACCACTACGACGACATCAAGAAGGGCATCGCGGCGATCAAGTCGCTCATCGAGTCGGAGGACACGAACTCCAAGAACGTGCGCACGAAGGCGCTGCGCGCGGATCTCGAGAAGGCGTACTCCCCCGACGCTCTCAAGGACCTCACGTCCGCGAGCCTCGCCAAGTTCAAGACGGGCATCGAGCAGGCGAACAAGTTGCTCAAGGACTCCCAGTGGCACCTCCCCGACGAGGTGATCGAGGAATACATCCTCGACGCGATCGCCGCCAAGGGGGCCACGCTCGGCGCAAACATGCGCGTGCAGATCGGCATACAGCGCCAACTCGCCGCGCAATCGGGCAAGACGTACGGCCTCAAGGCGTCCACGCTCGCGATGCAGGGCATCCTCGACCAAGACAACGCGGACCGCGCCAACGAGGCCAAGGCGGCTGCGCAGGCGGCGTTCGAGGCGGAGATTGCCTCGCAAGGCGTGCTCAAGGAGAAGCTCGCGGCCGCCGAGTCCCAGGTCGCCGCTCTCCAGGCGCAGATCAAGTCCGACAAGGGCGGCGGGGACCGCGGCGGCCGCGCAGCCGCTGGGCGCAAGCCGTGCCCCCACTGCAATGGGTTGCACGGTGGCAAGTGCATCGGCGACCTCATCTGCAAGGGGGTCCCTGTCGCCAAGGTGCTCGAGGAACTCCCCGACCGCATCGACCACGAGACGAAGGTGCGCATGGCCCAGTCCTCGTACAAGAAGGTGTGCGCCAAGTCCCCCGGCCGCACCCTCCCGCACGACCCCTTCAAGAAGTCGGACTCCACCGCGACCGACCACGAGGAGGTGCGGGCGGCGCTGGCCGACTCTGTCACCCGCACGTTCGACCCGGACGGCATCGTCGGCGGCTTTGTCGCTGGCGTCGGCACCGACCAGGTCGAGGACACCTTCCCCGACTCCAACCCCACCGACACGCCCGCCATCCTCAAGGCCAAGACGGCGGCGCGCAATGCGGCGGAGGCACGGGCGCGCGGCGGGCTGTGGGTCAAGTTCACCTCGTTCGTCACCGCGCTGCCTCGCCCGTACATCGGCGCTTCCATCCTACTCGTCCTGCTCGCGTGCCTCATCCCGGTCTACATGGGCTCGCCTGCCTCGATCGGCACGCCTGTGGCCGACGTCGTGGACGAGCCCTCGAACATGGGCGTGATGGTCGAGTCCGTCACCGCACTACCCCTCGAGCTGTCCACCGGGCCGGCGACTGGCTCAGGTGGCGGAGCAGAGTACGCCATCGAGGAGGACCCGCTCCAGCCGATCTACCGCAAGGTCGCGGGCGACATGTTCCGCGCGGTGAATGACATCGACGTGCCCAAGACGGTCCCGCTCGTCCTCTCGTACACGTGCATCATGCTCGCCATGTACGTGGCGCGCATGGACGCGATGCAGGCACACGCGCTTGTCGGGCATGTCAAGGTCGTCGACGCGTACGACACGACCGCCGGTGTGAACATGCCGGGATCGTATGCCGCTGGCGTCGACTCCAAGGCGGGCATGAACATGTTCCCGACGCCCGACTACTTCCCTCACGGGTGGCGCGAGCCCGAGAAGCCCATCTACATCCGCTGCGCAAACAACGACTACCTCAAGGCGAAGGGCGTCGGCACCGCGTACGCCTTCGCGCTGGCTGACCCGACCAAGCCGCAGGACACCAAGGTTGTGAACACCGAGTGGGTGAACGCGCTGTACGCGCCCGGACTCGCCATGCCTCTCGTCAGCGTCAAGGAGTGCAAGGCGCAGAACATCGTGGTCCGCTTCGACCTCTGCCCACCACGCTTCAACTACCCCTCCGGGCAGACCATCTACTTCGGGGAGGACTTCAACATCCACCTGATGCCGCTCGGCGCATCCGTCGGCGCCAACGCCGCCAAGGCCATCGTGCGCGGCAAGCCGGGGCGGCGCCCGACGGATGGCACCTTCTGGCGGCACGCCCTGTGCATCTCCGGCGACGCGCTAAAGGACCTCAGCAAGATCGCGGACGGCGTGCCAGACCTCTCCAAGATGGACCGCAACGAGGGCCTCGACGACGCCGCGCTGCAGGCGAACGCCAAGTACCACGCGCGGCGCAGCACCGGCCGGCCACTGGCCACTCGCTTCGGGGGCTCGTCGCACTACGACCTCTGGTCGCCCAAGGGTGTGGTAGGCGTCGATGGGCACTGCTACGCACTCATGGTCGTCGACGAGCAGTGTGGGCGCTCCTGGAGCTCCCCGAGTCACTTGTATGTTCGTCCTCCACCCTTGAGGAGGCTGCGCAATTGTGCGCGCGATAGTAGGAGATGCAGGAGTCGTCTAGCTTCTTCAGATCCTCAGCCTCGCTACCCGATGCGAGGATGGGGGGCTGTTGAAGACCGACGCAGCCGTCTAGTCGACGGCCACACATACACACATAGTGTCCTTACCACTCAGGGACTGCACCTGCGCAGTTTCGTACCGCTGCGGCGCGGTTTTGCAAAAACCGTTCTGCAGCGGCGCGGTTTTGCCCTTCACCCGCAGCCTGGATTGATAGTCATTGTGGGTGTGGGGGGTGTGCATGGCCTTCCGCCCCGCTGACACGCGCGAGCGGGCCGCCGCGGCACTGCGGGTCGCGAGCTGTGTCGCCTTCTGCAGCGTCTGGGTGGCCCTTCACTGGAGCCAAATCGACGGACTGCACTGGCTGTGGGTCCCCTCGGCTGCCGCCGTCGGGCTGCACAAGTGGCGGAGGCACGGTCTTGCGGCCGCGCGCGACGAGGTCTGCGGCGCGATCTACGACTTTCTGCGGCCGGCGGCGGCCTGCCTCCGCGCGTGGCACGACCCGAGTTGGCGCGAGTCGTACCAGCGGCTGATGCTGGCGCTCAACACCGCCAGCTGCCACTTCACCTCGTATGGCCCGGTGTGCAAGACGACGTGGATCCTCGCCTGCGCGCCGTACAAGCACGGCGTGCTAGCGGTGTGGGACCAGGCCGAGCACTTCAGCGGCGGCGTCCCGCCAGCACTGCTCGCCGGGTGGCTGCTCGCCCTCGTCGTCACCTGGCAGTGCACCGTCGTCGCAAACAACCTGTCGCACCACCGCTACTACGCCCACCGCTCGTACGACACCTCCCGCCCCGTCGCGCTCGCCCTCGGCGCGCCCCGGCTGCGCCACCAAGCTCGAGGCCCCGGAGCCTCCCCGACCCTTCCCCGGCCCCCTCCTGCAGGCGTGCTCGGTTGCGCCGCCACCCAGCGAGGCCCGCTCTGGTGGTCCTCCAACCACCGGCGGCACCACCGCTTTTGCGAGACGGCGGAGGACCCGCACAGCCCCGCGCAGCAGGGGGTGGTGTACGCGCACTGCGGCTGGGTCTGCGACCGCGTAAACTTCCCCATCCGGCCAGAGTACTGCGGCGAGTGGCTCGAGCGGCCAGAGCTGCTGCTGCTCGACGCGAACGTCGAGCTCGTCTCGTCGCGGCTGCGCGGCTGGCTCACGCGCGGCGTGCTGCGCCTCCTTGTCTGGTGCGCCGCCGCGGCTGGTGCGCGCGCCCCGCCCGCGCTTGTGCTCTCCACGCCTCGCCCGGCTCTCCGCCATGCTCCCCGCCATGCTCTCCGCCCTGCTCTCCGCCCACCGCCCCTTCGCTCGCTTCTCTCTGCCCTGGCCTCCCCGGCCGCCACCGCCGGCACTGCCCACCTCCCCCGCCGCTCCCCCGCCAGGTGCGCCGCCGAGCTTGCGGCTGCAGTACCTCACGCGCTACACGACCGACACGCAGCTGCTCGCGCTCTCGCTCTCGCTGCATTGGTCGAGCTTCGTCAACTCGATGTGCCACGACTGGGCGCCCGCCCCCTCGTGCGGCGGCGGCGGCGGCGGCGGCAAGGGCCCGTGCGTCGGGCTGAGCATACCTTGGGTCGGGCTGCTCTCGGGGGGCGAGGGCTTCCACAGCCGCCACCACCAGAACGCGCGCAACGCGAGGCACGCCGAGCGCGCGCTGCTCGACCCCGTGTACCTCGTGACCTGCGCGCTCGAGCGGCTCGGCCTCGTGTGGAGCGTGCAGCGCCAGGAGGCGGCCGGGGAGGCGAGGGCGGGGCAGCGGGCGGACTTGAAGGCGGACTGACAAAGCCAGGACATAGCCGATAAGAAAATAGTTTACAGACGAGTAGATAGAAAGAGTAGTCATAGGCACACACCAAGCACGAACACCCACACTTATCACTTTGGAGGATCAACATGCTGGAGGCAAGGTCCGTATCGGTATCGCGCGTACAGTAAAAAAAATTTGCTTTAATCCAAAATACTCGGCACAGTGCTATCCCCTACCCCCCCCCCCCCCCCCTGTCCTCTCCGGACTAGACATGTGCGCTACATTGCCTAGGGGTGGGGTGGTGGGGCCTATTGGGGCATAATGGCTTGTTGTAGTGGATATGAGTTGTGGGCGTGTCTCGCTGGCTTTCGCCAGCCTTTGCAGGCATCCTAAGTTCGGCGGCTCAGCCTCCTCTGCGCCAGGGATCGCGCGGGGCGCAGCACGCCCTGTGTCGTCTGCGCGAGATCCTAGTCCCTGGTTCACCGAGGCGCCCCCTACAGGGAGTCAGCTCAGCCGCGTTCCTTGTAGTGTGATGCCTTTAAGTCTTTAGGTGTTTGTTGTGCTAGCTTGTGAGGCCTTGACAAACTTGATCTCTCGTGCGTGAGTCGTCGCCTCTTCTGTGGTGAGGTGGTCGAGTCCCACTCTCCTTAGTTCTTCATTCACTCGCCTGCTCAGTCGTAGTCTGCCGTAGTAATCAATCGTCCCCATGGGTTCTACTTTGTCGCTTATTTCTTTCATGGTCGAATCGCTGACTCGGTCGCTCTTGCGTCTTATTCGTCGGAGCCTAGTTCTGGCCTCCCCCGAGTACGCTTGCATGTTTCTCACTAATAGGTTCAAGACCGCCTTCCAGGTTTGTTCGGGTTTGATGTCTTCTTCTTCGTAGAAGGAGACTATTATTTGGTTCCACATGTGTAGATGAAGTGCGTTGTGGACCTCAGGCGTGTCCGCCGAGGTTCCGATGATGGTGAGTAGTCTCGGCGGAGGTATGCTCAGTGACTCTCCTTGTGCAAAGACCGCCCGGACGACCGGGCACCCGTCGAGGTGTCTCAGCGTTTCAGAGGTTCTGTTACAGAGCCTGCACCTCGTGTGTGTTGTGGTGTCTAGTCCGTACGCCTTGAGCTGTTTCCGGAGGACCAGCCTCCTGTTGAGAATATGTCTACAATAGTTGTCGGTAATTGTAGGCGGGACCAGAGTGCTGTGTATCGCTCTTGCAGCGTTAATCCATTCTTGAGGGTGGACTATTTTGTTGCTTGTCTCCACTCTGAGGCGGAATCTTGACGAGCTGTCATGCGGTCGGTCGGGTCGCTGCACTCGTGCCCTGGAGTCTTTTCCTCCCTCTCTTATCCACCCTGGGTTCCGTAGGAAGTCCTTCTCCCAGTTTCTGAGGATCCTGGGTTGGGTCATGCCCTTTCTGCTCAGATACTTTGTGATGTCGCCGACGCTTATCTGATCGAGTGGTTTGTCGATCCCGTCGAATGTGTATGTCTCCGGGTGTGGCCAGGCCACCTCCTCGCTCTCCTTGTAGCCTTGCGCCCACTGTAGGGCTGGTAGTGGGTTGTGTCTGAGGAATTCGTCCTTACTTATTTTCGTTCCTGGGTGGACCATTCCTTTGGCGTCTTGTTCGGCTAGCCAGTATTCCTCGTACCATTGACCAGCTTTCTTTTTGAGGGTTCGCACCAAGTACTTGTGGTTGTTTTCTACTGTGTCGTCTCTGTCCAGGTAGGCGTATACTCGTATTGGTTCAAATTTTTCTTTTGGTGATGGGGATGGGCCCGTTGTTGTTTGTCGAGGCTGAGTGCCTTTGTTTGTGACTATTGGGCCGTCTCGTAGGTTCAATATTTTGACTTTGAGCTCTAGCTTGACATTAGTGGGAAAGATTCTGAGCTTGGCCGCTACTGGCGGTCTTTGTAGCATTTGCAGGCTTCGGTCGTAGCCGTGCCAGATTTCCCTTCTTAGGAGGTTGGCCTTCCTGTGCGCGGGGTTGAGCCCCCTTTTGTTGAGAATTATTCCTAGCTCGTGCCAGGCGTAGTGCACCTTCGCTCGATCTGTGGTATGCCAGTGGCCTCCTCTCAGCGGCACGATTATCTGTTCGTCTGTCGATCTGTATCATCTGTTGTCGAGGTGCGTCCTTGGAGTGAAAATAGAAGTTCTGCAGCTTCGCTAGGTGGCCCTCTATTTGCACTGGTACCGAGATATATCGTGAGCCGCATCCTTCCACTAGTGGATCTCTCGTCCTCGTTATGGTTTGAGAGTCGATCCTGATGAAAATGGCGGTGCCCCCCTTGGGGTCATCTTTGGTGGCCGGGTTGTGATACGCGTCCCATCCCAGCGTCCTGGCAGTTGCTACTAGGTCGAAGCGTCCGACGTCGTAGTAGTGCATCTCTTGTCCGAATATTGCGTCTACGTGGTCTCGAGTTGCTGCACTTAAAATGCTTACTAGCCTTTTCCTAGAACCGTTAAAATTGTACGTGATTAACTTAACCATTGTCTTGGTGGGGTGGTGAGGGGCGGTCGGGCCCCTGACGGCCTCCCCGACCGCGACACACTCCTCCCGTTGGCCTGCTTCAATTCTGGCAGTGAGCATCTACACAGCGCACAGCGTCGCTACTCCCAGATCATTCATCATGCAGCATGGCTCGGCTTTTGGAATGCGTTGCAGCTACCGGGCGTGGCTAGGCGGGAGGCGGTGCGCTTCATCGCCGTCAGCCAGTACCAGGCGGGCGCCTTCCTCAACGTGCAGGACCCACTGGGCGACGCGGCCAGCAACATCGGCCGCCTCGGGCACTGCGGCCGCCATAACAGCCTCCTCGCCGCCCTGGCCAAGGTCATGCGGAGCGTGTGGGGCATGCTCGTCGAGGTTGAGCCGCGGGACCACCTCGGCTACTCTAACGACTACCGGCCCGACGTCTCGGTGGCGGGCGCCGGCCGCTCGCGCTCACGCCTCATCGGCGACGTCAAGTTCAAGGACCCTCTCTCCTCCAACCCGGAGGACGTCGGCCAGCGAGGCGCTTTCGTCGGCCTCGGCAACACCGAGCCCGGCACGAGCGCGGACGTCTTCGGCCTCGAGCAGCGCGGCGCTGTCGGGGACGGCGACTTCAGGCCGAGCGACGGCGGCGGCTATGTGGCGTACAAGAAGGCGGACTAACGCGCACGCCCTCTCGCGCTCGGACACCGACGTGCAGATGTACCTGTTCGAAACCTTCGGCGGGTGGTGCAACGCGGTCAAGCGGCTGTTCTACCAGATGAAGGACAAGAGTGCGGGTCAGGAGGCCCTAAAACGGCGGGAGGGGTAGGGGTGCCGCTGTAGGGGTGTGGAGGGGTCGGGAGGGCGGGAGTGTGGACCGTGACCTAAAGCCCTCCACCGGCAGAGGTGTCAGGCGGCAGGGCCCAGGAGGGGTGGGGGCTGGGAGGGCTGGCCAAAAGCGAGGCGTAGGGGAGGGCTCGTGGCCCATTTCTTTTTTCCTTTCTTTTTTTGGGTCCTGTGGGCACCCTACCCGGGGCCCCTCTCAGCTCTCACACGCGCGCACACACGAGCCGACTAATCGACTTTTTTCCCGCCTCTCTCGTCTCTGGCGATGCGCCCACGGCCATGCGGTTCAAGGGCCTTGCTCGCCCCCGGCCTCCCCCTCAAAGGCTCGCCTGCGCGCCGCGGTGCGCTTCCCACCCGCGCGCTGCTCCTCGCGGAACGCCTCTGGCCGGCGCGTGTCCAGGTAGGGCTCCGCGCCGCCTCTCGTCGCCAGCTCCAGAAAAAGCTGCAGCTGCTCTTCCGAGCGAGCCAAGTCCGTGTACCAGCGCGCCCGCAGCGCCGCCGCCTCGGCGGCGGGCAGCGCACCTGATTCACAGGCCCCTGCCCGTGAAGAGGCGCTGCTCGCAGCGCGGCATCAGCCTCGGGTGGCGGGCGGCGCGCCGAAAGGGGCGCCCGATGCGTCGCGGCGGTCAAGCAGCCGCTGCAGCACGAGTGCGGCGGCGACCGATACGTTCAGCGACTCGGTGAAGCCGCACATGGGGAGGAAGACGCGCCTGCGCCACAAACGCTCTTTGTTCTGCCTTCACCGCGCATGCGCCTACCTGTCCACGCCGGAAGGCAAGCCGCGCCGGTCGGCCGCCGCCAGCATCGTCTTCGAGACGCCGGCGCCTTCTGAGCCGACGACGACGGCGAGGCGGGGCAGGGCCGGCTCGCCGGCGGCGTGCGCGCAGAGGGGCGCCGCCTCCTGAGACAAGTCCGTCACCCACAGCTGCCGCCCGTCCGCCTGAGCGGCCGTGGAGGTACGCTCAGGAGGCGCGACAGTCCCGCTGGCAAAGTGTGCGTGCTGCGTACGGAGGGCGGACGGAGGGCGGACGGAGGCTAGTGTCTCCCGCCGGTAAGGAGTGGAGCGTAGGCCGCCTTTGCGGCGGCGATGCACTCGGAGGCGGTCCGGAAGACGCGCACGTCGAGGCGGGCGGCGTAGAGCTGCGAGCGGCGCACGCCGAGGAGCGGGTCGTAGCTCACCTGCAGCCAGCTTTCTGCTTCTCAGTCCTCACAGCGCACTCCTCTCCTTAAAAACGGCCAGTGGCTCGCCTCCGCGAACCCGCGCTGCGCCGCTCGCGCCGCGTGCCGCCGCCGCGCGCGGCTGCCTGCGAGCTGGCCCGCCGGCGCCGAATCCGCGGTCGCCGGTGTGTTGGCCTCCACGAGCATCACGCGGTGGACTCCGAGCGCCTGCGACCCATGCGGGAGGCCGCTCTGGAGGCGTGCGGAGAGGCGCGGCCTTTGAGTCGGCGAGGGGAGAATCGACGTCTGCTGTCTATCAGTGCGAGGCGTGCGCGTGTGTTTGCTCGTCCGTGAGACTGGCGGACGGGCGGACCTCGCAGGTGCGCAAGACTGCCACATGATTGAGGTCGTCGCAGCAGTTCTCGAGCACCAGCGCGATGTGGTCCGTCCGGCCGCGCAGCACCGTCTCCGCCTTGCGGGCCAGCCGCAGCGGGTCCTCGGCCGAGTCAAAGAGCGGCGCCGGCGTCGATGGCGGCATCGGCGGCAACAGCTTGTCCGCTGCGGGAGTGCGCTGGCGCTTGGCACGCTCGGCGCGGCGCGCTGCCTCGGACTGCGGAACGAACGTCGCCACGCACCGCTCGCACTTGCGCACGGCGTCGCGCCGCTTGCACTGTCGCGCGGTGAAGGCAGTCGATGGCTTCATCTGGCTGCACATACTGCAAAACAAGAAGAGACGGCGGCTGCGGCGACGTGCATTCATGATGAGTGCGACGGCGACCAGGCCGCCGGCGAGCAGGCTGACGGCAGTCGAGCGAGTGGTCGCTGGCGGTAGCATGGAAGATAGATCGAGGATTCGAGGTGTTTAGATTCGAGGTGGCGCAGGAGCTGTGGCGTCGTCGTCGGGCATCAAGCAGCCCAACAAATTGCCGCGAGGTCGAAGCGAGCCGCAACCAAGCGCGAGCCGCTCGGCATTTCTTTTCTTCGGCACCGTGCTGGCCGCCCGTTTATTTCTTTTCTGGGTGTCATGTAACATGCCAATCCTGGCGAGCAGAGGCACACGCACGCACTCTCGAGGTCTCTTGGAGCAGAGCCCCGGCGGAGCAATGGGTCCCTCGGAGGGGTACCCTGGGTGGGCGGTGGGCGGAGAGCGCAGCCCAGCGAGCTTGAGCAGCGCGGCGTACCGCCCGAAGCTCTCGGCTGCAAAGGCGCCGTGGCGCCACCGCTTGTCGCGCCACTTGCCCGGCCGACCGTCCGGCGCGCGCGGCACCTCAAGGAAGTAGGGCGGGGCGGTCGAGAATCGCACAATCATTGTGCGTAGCGATGCTCCAGTGAGCGTACCTTTCCTGAAGGTATCTCCAGCTGGACACGTGCATGCCTCCACGACGATAGCTGACTGTGAAGCTAAAGCTCTCGCCCTCAACGTTACCCTCTGCCTCTCGCAGGATGGTGCCAAGGTTGAAGCATCTGCGTGTCTCGCCTTCCCGCCAAAAGGTGGCAAAACCCTGCCGCCTCCTCGTCTCCCCTTGTCCCTCACGATCACCGCCCCGCAACCGTAGGTGCATCTGGAGCGGATCTCTCCACGGTGGGATGCCTGGTCTCTTCCGGGTCCTCTCCGCCCGGTTCATCTTTTTCATCTCTTCTCTGTATGTGGGCTGGCTCTTCCAGAACCTAGTTCCTCGCTCTTCCATGTTGAGCTTTGGTCGCAGTGTGCGGATCAGTCTCCTCTCCACTCGCTGCGCCTCCCGTTTGCTCGCGCACACAACAAGCGGCACGGTAAACCAGGTGTGTGGCCGCGCTGCTCGGTGTGCCATGTATCGCCCATGTCCACCGCACCCAGCCTTCCTGCAGGTGTGGTATTCGCGCGAGTGCTTCACGGTCCCGGTGAAGTGCTGCTCCTGCCTGGTTCGCCACGCTTCGGTCTCCCCAATATAGACTGCTCTAGTGCCCTGTAGGCTAAACCTCGCATACACGATAGCACGCTTATCGTCCGCCTCCACCTCATCAGCACTCTGTATGAGGTCTGCTAGTCGTTCAAGCGCTGGGATGCGCACCGCTCGTGTGAGCGCCCGTATCCACGGTTGTGCGAGCGTGTGGAGCTCGGCTACCCATCGTTTTGCCTTAGTCTGTACCCGAGTCTTTTCTCCTCCTTCCCTCGGGAGGCAAAATTCCTTGACGAAGGCCTGGATAGCCCACATCTCCCGTGTGACGCGGGTCACCGGCATCGTGACCGAACTCGAAGCCGCCAAGTCAACGCTTGAGGCGCAGGTTAAAACCGGCACTGCTGCACTAGTCGAAGCGCCAAAAGTTAGCGTCGTCGCCGGCATTTGCATATGGCTGTCCTCACCAGCCTACCCAATGCTGCTAGCGTGTCGGCCACCCTCGCCGGCAAGCCCAACATTGTGCTATTCCTCCAGGACGACCAGGACTTCCTCGAGGGCCGCGCCTCGCTGCGGCCTTTGCCAAAGGCACTCTCCCTCATCGGCGACCGTGGTGCATTCGCAGAGAACTGGTTCGTGCACACTCCAGTCTGCTGCCCGAGCCGCGCCGAGCTGCTCACGGGCCGCTATTTTCACAACCTGCGGATGCCGAGCGGCGGCGGCGGCGGATGCATGCACGTCCAGACCGGTGTCGCTGGCCGCGAGGACAAGGCGAATGCTCACTCGTTTGCAAAGCACCTCGTGCGAGAGGCGGGCTACACGGCGGGCTGGTTCGGCAAGCACCTCAACGCCTGTCCACACGAGCCGCCGCCTGGCTACGACTGCCCCACCTGCCGCTGGTTTGCAAACGGCGGCGCCGAGGACACCGAGCCGGGAGGCTACCTCGGCTGCAGCTTCTCCGACTTTGCGGGCGGTGTGCCCTCGAACGGCACCTACAGCCGAAACGGGACGTACCGGTCATGGCGGCCCGGCGCCCCGACGGCGGGCGGCTTGCGGCTACCGCAGCACGGCGGCTACGTCACATCGATCATCGCAAACCTGTCGCTCGAGTGGCTGCAGACGGTCGGCGGCAGCCGCGCGCCCCGCGACGCAGACGGCGCTCTGCTGACGCCCTTCGTGCTGACGGTGGCACCAAAGGCGCCGCACTACCCCGCCACGCCCGCCCCGTGGTACGAGGAAGGCACCTGGGTGGACGAGGAGCGCGTGCGCGCCCCGCGGACCGCGTCCTTCGGAGTCGCTCCCTCGCGGCTGGCAGATCACCACGGCATGATCGCGGGCCAGGGGCCGCTGCTGCCGCACGAGGTGAGCGCCATCGACCGCCAATTCCGCAAGCGCTGGAAGGCGCAAAAGCCCCGTCGATGGGATTAGAGAACCGACATTTCTCATGCTCACACTTCGACGATACTCTCATCAGGCCCTCCTCTCCGTCGATGACGCCATCGCCGCCGTCGCGGCGTCGCTCGAGTCGCTCCGCCTCTGGCGCTGGACGTACTTCTTCGTGACGTCCGACCATGGGCGGGCGGCACACACACACACCCTCTGGACGCCACCGCGTGTGGCGCACTCTACAGCATCCTCCAGACACACCCGGGACACCGCTCCAAGCACACTACAGCATCCTCCAGACACACCCGGGACACCGCTCCAAGCACACTACAGCATCCTCCAGACACCGCTCCAGGCACACCCCCACACCCCCTCTGCACACTGCGGTAGGTACAACCTCGGCCAGCACAACCTCCCCTCGTGCAAGCTCTCCGTGTACGACCACTCGATCCGCGTGCCCATGCTCCTCCGTGGGCCGGGCGTCTCGCCGCAGTCCTTCGCCGAGGTCGGGTCCAACGTCGACCTCGCGCCAACCTTCCTCTCCCTCGCCGGGCTCGACCCCCCCTCCGCCCCTGGCCCGCCGATGGACGGCGTCTCGCTGCTGCCGTGGCTGCTCGCCGCCGCCGCCCCCGCCGACCTCCCCGCCGCCACGCGGCAGCACACCTCCCGAGGCGGCAGCCCGGACGCAGCCTTCCCCCGAGCCTTCCGGGAGCCTTCCTCTAGGAAGCAGCTCGCGCGCGAGGCTGTGAGGCTCGGCACGCCACGGCCGCACGTCCGCACACATCACTGGGTCTCCGCCTCCCTCCGCCCAGCCGCGAGCGCGTGCCCCGAGGCCGGCCGACCTGCC